CTCCTTTCCCCACTCCTGAAAGCAGCTGGGACCGGGTGTACGGTGGCCGAGAGCAGTGGGACGCGCTGGTGACCACAGCTGCCTGGTCCTCAGCCCGCGCCTGGCCAGAGGATGCCCGAGTCTGGGTCCAAGGTCTCATCCACCCAGGCTGCTCCTGCGAGCGGGCAGTGGGGAGGGCCTAGTCTTGGTCTGACTTTTGGCCAACACCAGGCCCTCCCATGCCTCCCAGTGTACCCAGGGCCTTACTCCCTCTGCCTGTTGCCAGGTTCTGAGTGTATTTTCTCCAAAGGCCTCTGATTGTTTCCTGAAGAAACCTGATCCCAGAGCTTATACAAAAGCTGGGGCTGCCAGAGGAGAAACCCCATTCTCTGCCGCTCTGTCCCTAGCCCCCCCACCTCCATAACCTCTCTCGCTTTGGATGCTGGGTATGGGTTCCAGGACCTGGCTGCCATCACCTAGGCAACAGGGGGCTTTGGTTGCCATGGTGATCATTGTGGGAGAAGCTGGGCAGCAGGGACAAAAGCCCCCACGTTTCCCCCCCTGGTCCTCACCCCAGTCCTCATGGGATGATACTGAGACACATTCCATTAATTTTATTTCTGAAAGGCCTTTGGAGGGGAGAAGGGTCTCCTTTTTGTGACAGACTTTCTCTTCCTTCCCTCACTCCTCTCTGGCCTGTTTTTAACCCCAGATAATCCATGGTTGGCTTGAGCAGGGGACCGAGTCACTGTGTTTTTGTGTCTGAGGTGGGGTTGGGGGCCTGGTGAAAAGCAACGGAACACATTCCCTTTCACAGCCTCCCACCCTTTAAACCAGGGCACTCCCTGCCCTGGACGAAGTCCGGACTTCCCTCCTGGTCCGCTGTGCCGCCCATATTTCCACTTGTTGATCCCATCCAGTGATCCCCTCCCCCACTCTCTTCCCTGGGAATGCTGCCCACCCGGGAGACCCTCCAAACCCCTGATTCCTGGGTCCGATTAAACAAGGGGAACTTCTGGCCTTCTCTTTTCTCATAAAGTCCCTCCCCATAGCCTCTGCAGTGCTTGGGTTAATTCCTGGGGTGCTCCAGGAGACAGCAGGCAAAGGTCTCGGAAGCTGGATTCATTTTTGGCCACTCTGTTTGGCAGGGGAGGGAGCAGCATGTTTGGGTGCTTTCTGAGGACCTTGAGTTGGGTTGGTAGGGGTGGGAGAAGCAGGCCAGGGGAGCCAGGTTTATGTTGGGTCTTTAATCAGCAGCTGGGAGGAAGGTAGGGAGCTCTAGGCTGGAACAGTTTAGAACAAAGGGTTGGGAGGGGACTGGCACCCTGTCTGGTTTGAAATTTATCTGCAGGGGAAGCACAATGGCATCAGCTTCCCTCCTGGGTGTGTTTGAAGTGGTGGTTCTGATCTGTGTGTGTGTGTGTGTGTGTGTGTGTGTGTGTGTGTGTGTGAGTGTGTGTGTGAGTGTGTGTGTGGCTTTAGTTGTACAAGCAGCAAGATTTATTTATACCACCTCTTTCCCAAGTCTCAGAGGAAGTGTCTGGGGATTGGAGCAGGAGTGACCCTGAAGTCAGAGTGTATTAATTGCTTAACTTATTACTTGCTGAGCAGTTTGTTAAAGTACTTCTTTTATCTCCAGTATACTTAACAACAACCCCATGAGGTGTTGATGTAAAACATCATTTCCCCTGTTTTACCAATGAGCCTACCAGGCTGCCAAGCGCAGCCAAGTTAAGTAACTTGCGCATGATCACACAGCTCCTCAGTGGGAGAGTTGGGTTTTAAACTCAGATACTCAGGTGCAAATCCCATGCTCTTTTTGCTGTTGACTCTCTTGGAAGATGTGAGAATTCAGGCTCGGGAGACGGAGAGTCTGGGTTATGGTGTCTCTGTCTAGACTCGAGTCCATGGCAGCCCTTTTCCTCTTTATTTCTCCACCTCCCTCACCCTGTCACCCACTTGCTCTCTTTGAACCTGCTGGTGAAATTGAGTTTGTAGGAGGACTAGGAAGAACGGGCTGAGCCACAACAGGAGAGATACAGGCGATGTGTCTGAACTGTATCAGGGACTAGATCAGGAGAATGGGCTCTGGGGAGATGGGGTAGAGCAGTCCAGCATAATTTGCAGATAAGAAGGTGAATAGGGCCTTGTTTGTGGCAAAGGTTTCTAGAAGGGTTTAGGGTGGGTGGGTTAAGATATTGTTGTCTGCATTGTCCGAGTGTGTCTTTGTTACATACTTGTCTTGATATGGGGCTATGGACAAACATCACCAGGCCATGGAGTGTCTCCACATACCTCTGTGAGGAAGATCAATGAATGGAGGTAGCATTTATTTCATCTCCCTACAGTGTTTGCAGTTTCCCCGAGAGTCAGGCGATATCAGTTACTAGCCGTGTGCCAATGGAAAGGTGGTGGATACAAGTCCGTATCAATCATAGTTCTTATTCTCAAGTTACTGATGGTTCAGCTCGGTTGGAGAAAAGTTAACAACTACATAAAGCATATTCATTTCAGTTCTTAGCATAATTGACCTCGTGGCAGCACTTGACCTGGCTGATTTTATTCCCACCTTGAAGCAGTAATTCTTGGCTGCATGAGAGCCCACTCTTCTGGTCTCCTTGTTCCTCTGGCCTCATGGCCTCAGCCCCTTTGCCTCTTCTGTGTCCTTGGACATGTTTACATGTTGGGGTTCTCAGGGACCCCCTGTTTAACCCTCTCACTGGGTGATCCCATCCATTCCCTTGACCTTGCACACCATCCATACCTCCAGCTCAGCCTCTTTTCTGCCTCTAGCTCCTCTGACGCTCAGCCTCCTGTTTAACTGCCTATCTCACAGCCATGAACTCAGCATGCCAGAAGCCGAACTCGCCAGTTCCTCCCCAGTCTTCCCACCTGGTAATGGCACTACCACCTCCTCTCATGCTCGGGCCAGAGATCTTGATGCTCCCCTCCCCCTCAGCCAGTCCAATTAAGGCCTGCTGGTCCTACCCAACGTATGTTATGAATGTGAGCATTTCACACCTCCTCTGCTGCTCTGCCCCAGCGCTGCAGTCACCTCCTTCCTCGTCTCCCTACTTCTGCCTTCCCTTCTCTCTGTCTGGAGAGCTAAAACCCTTCCCAGGCTTCCCACTGAATTAACCCAGCTCTTCCCCCAACCCGGGGCTTCCCCGGTGCTCAGCAGTGAAGAATCCGCCTGCAGTGCAGGAGTCACAGGAGACACGAGTTTGATCCCTGGATTGGGACGATCCCCTGACAACCCACTCCAGTGTTCTTGCCTGGAGACTTCCATGGACAGAGGAGCCTGGTGGGCTACAGTCCATGGGGTCGCAAAGAGTCTGACATGACTGAGCAACTTAGCATGCACGCACACTCTCCCTGACCCCGAGCCCTGGCCACCTCTTCAGCCTCACCTTCCATTGCCTCTCCCTTCCTCACACCCGGCTCCACTGGACCACCCAACTCTGCTGCCTTTGGCCTTCCTGGGGGTGGCTGTCTGCTCTGCAGGCTTTTCCCTCCGCTCTACCTGCTTAGCCCTGGGCTCCTTCAGGCTTGGTGGTGGTTTTCTCAGATTTTCCAGAACCACTCAGTTTAAAGGAGCCCTGCTCCCCAGACTTGTCTGTCATACTGTCCTCATCCTTCTCCTTTCATCACTGATGTAGTTAGTTGTTTATATGCACCCATTTACATGCACCAACCCTGCTGGGCTGTGAATCCGGGGTTTCTTCCCCATTGTACTCAGGGCTTGGCAGGGGATATGGTTTCTAGATGGGGCCTAAGCAAGAGGTGATGACTCAGCGAGTGAAGGTGGGAAATAACTGCTCAGTGCCCAGGGTGCACTGGGTGCTGGGGATCGGGGATGTAACATTGGGTGCTGAGGGCGAAGGGGGCTTTTGTGAAGGGGTCGGGGCTGGGTTGTGAGGTAGGTGGTAAGCAGGGTTGGGTGAGAGTTAGGGAGGACGGGAGAAGGAGAGGTCTTTCTCCTCTGCTGAACTGGAAGGTGAAAGTGTAGAAGAAAGACGCTGCCCCTCGGTCCACAGCGGTCAGATAAGCTGTTGACATTGCCTGGTTCAGGATGTCAGGTTTTTAGAGAATGGTTTCTGCTTACCTTCCCCTTCTGCCCCTCACCACGTGATTTGTAGTTTACATTCTTCACCCTGGCCATGTGAGCACATTTATGCATGCACACAAGTCAGGCCACTCACAGACACAGACACACACACAGACACAGACACAGACACAGACACACACACAGCCTTAAGGGGGACAGCCAGCTTCACCTCACAGTAACTGTGTGTTTGACATACATGCTAGGGAGACAACACCAACAGAAGCAGCCATAGGCAGCCGCCTGTGGGCACTCAGACATTAAGAATGGGAGGAGATTGTTGCATCTATGTTCAACTAATAAAAATAAATGGAAAAAAAAAAAAGAATGGGAGGAGATGAGAGGCCTGGGGTAGCCTCTGGACTGACGCCAGCTGCCTCCTGCTGCGGTCTACACTGGGCCGGCCAGCTGGCCTGGCCAGAACCCACGTTCTCCAGAGTTCCTGGCTGAGGATAGGAAAGTGCTGCCCAGTTCTCCCCTGCGGGGGTCCAGGGTTGGGTCATCCTGGGTGGCCTTTGCTGTCATCTTCCCCCACCCCGGGGCACAGTCTGGGGGTGCTCTTGCTAGGAGGCAGGGCAGGAGGAACTGGGCCACTGGACAGAGCAGGAGCCTGGGGGGCCGCTCTCAGGTGGGAGCGAGGCTCCCCTGAGCTCCCGCGGCTGCTTCCTGGGCATGGCCTCCGTCTCTGCTCCAGCCCCACCCCGACCAGCTGCTTCCTTTCCTCAGGAGCGCCGCTTGATTTTCTCCGAGGCAAGCCCACCTGTCCAGCAAGATAGAGTCCCTCAGGGCGACGGTTGATTTCCTGAAGGTGCCCCTTGGCCTGAAGAAGCCGGTCCTGAAGGAGGTGGCAGGGGCGCCCCCCAGAGGGCCCCCGCCTGTGGCCCTGGAGCGCTACAAGGCGCGGCGCTCGGACGCCATGGACACCGAGTCCCAGTACTCCGGCTACTCCTACAAGTCTGGCCACTCCCGCAGCTCCCGCAAGCACAGGTGGGTGTGCACGGCGTGGGCGCGCCACAGGGCCGGCGGGCTGCAGCCGGCCGCTGAGAAACTCGGTCCTCCCCTTGACCTTCCGTGCCTGTCCCCCTGGCCTTCTGCTGCAGGGACCGCCGGGACCGACACCGCTCTAAGAGCCGCGACGGGAGCCGGGCGGACAAGTCGGTGACGATCCAGGCTCCGGGGGAGCCTCTGCTGGACAATGAGTCCACGAGAGGGGATGAGCGGGTGAGCGTCAGGGGCTGAGGTCTGGACCAGGTGTTTCCACTCGGATGCCCGGAGAAGCTGGAGGTCCATCCAAAAGGGGAAGGGGCTGGAAACCTGGCCTCTTTCGACCCAGAGGAGGGTCATTTTGGGTCTGCTAAGGGTCGCAAGCTAGGACCTCGTCTCAGTAGAATTCTGTAGAATCTTGGTAGAGTTCAGAGATCCCTTTGGAAGCAGCAGCGTCTTTCATCTTTTACGACCCATGTGACCTGGGCTGTGTAATGGGAATTGCCTCTCCTCTGGGCTCATGCCAGCCAGTTAGGGGACTGGGAATCTGGAGTGGGAGGACGGCAGTGGGTTGGGGCTAGAGGTGTGGCAGCCTGGTTTCCCTTGGGCACTCTGGTGCCCTCTGGTGTCGGACTGCAGAATAGCACCCGCTGGTCAGAGGGAGGAGTTGATGGAGGAGGAGGAAGTGAGCTTGGGGAGATGGGAGGGGGCTTCTGGCCGGTTGCTCCCACCTCTCTGGCCCACTGTGTGCCCCTGGCAGGGAGGGCAGGAGGCAGCGCCCAGGGCTAGAAGAGGGAAGAGGCAGGATTTGGGATGACTGAGGTGGTCCATGTATCATTCCCCCTTTCTTCTTGGGAGCATCTTAGGGAGCTGGAGACCTCACGAGACATCTCTATGACTAACCCTGGGGCTTTCTGGGGCTTGGAAGCAGATCAGTACCTGAGGGAGATGATCTTTCTCCCTCTTTCCGAATCCCGTCTTCTCCCAGAGACCTGGTCTTCTGAGTTCTTGAAGTGAGCCTGATCAGCTCTTCTGTTGTTGGGGGGTGTGCCCAGGCTCTTGAAACTTGGAGCACACATGTTGGTATGGTGGCTGAGGTTACTCATGGGTTCCCTGAGCTGAGACAGGCAGTGCCTCCACTTTCTGCCTTCTGTTCAGGCTCCCCTTTCCGTGGGGAAATGCCCATGTGGTGGGCGTTCAGACGGGCCAGAAGAGCCAGCCAGGCAGAGCAGAGACCCCGAGTGGCCCTGAGTCTGCACCACGCCTTGCATGCCCTACACTAGTCTCTCACCTTCCTCATCCCTTCCTCTCCGTGTCCTCTTCCCTCCCCCATGCTGCCTTGGTCAGGCCATCCCCTTAACCAGATACTCGAGTGGCTCTCTGTACTCTGAGGATAGGTACCTATTGCCTACCCTGGCCTTGGGCTTCCCAGGTAGTGCTAGTGGTAAAGAACCCACCTGCCAGTGCAGGAGATGTAAGAGACTCAGGTTTGATCCCTAGATTGGGAAGATTCCCTGGAGGAGGGCATGGCAACCCATTCCAGTATTCTTGCTTGGAGAACCCCATGGACAGAGGAGCCTGATGGGCTATAGTCCATGGGGTTGCGAAGAGTTGGACGTGGCTGAAGTGACTTAGCACGGCACAGCATGATACATCCTGGCCTTGCGAGTGGGATGCTCGAGCCTGCTTGCTTTGCCTGGAGAGTCTGGACCTCAGGTGCCATTCTCGGACTGAGCAGCTCCCTGGCATCTCTCTTGGACCCTCTGTTCTGAGGGTGCATGTGCAGGTGTTTCCTGGTTGGCTGACGGCATGAAGCTCCCCGAGGGCCCGGGTCTCAGATGTGCCATCCCTGCAGAGGCCAGACTTGGGCACGCAGGGAAAGTGTTAGTCTCTCAGCTGGGCCCGACTCTTCGTGACTCAGGGACTGTAGCCCGCCAGGCTCCTCTGACGGTGTTCACTACCCTCTTTTCTCCTCTGCCTGCTTCGCTGTCTGTCTTCTTCCCCCTCACCTCTTCTCCCGTGTCCCTGCCTCCCCTCCTCCTCCTCTCCTTCCCCATCACCACGGCCGCTCCGGCTGTAGGACGACAACTGGGGGGAGACGACCACGGTGGTGACGGGCACCTCGGAGCACAGCATCTCGCACGATGACCTCACGCGCATCGCCAAGGACATGGAAGACAGCGTCCCACTGGACTGCTCCCGGCACCTGGGTGTGGCGGCGGGGGCTACGCTGGCCCTGCTCTCTTTCCTCACGCCTCTGGCTTTCCTGCTGCTGCCCCCACTGCTGTGGCGGGAGGAGCTGGAGCCGTGCGGGACGGCCTGCGAAGGCCTCTTCATCTCCGTGGCCTTCAAGCTGCTCATCCTGCTGCTGGGCAGCTGGGCCCTGTTCTTCCGCCGGCCCAAGGCCTCTCTGCCCCGCGTCTTCGTGCTGCGCGCCCTGCTCATGGTGCTTGTCTTCCTGCTCGTCGTGTCCTACTGGCTCTTCTATGGTGTTCGCATCCTGGACGCCCGCGAGCGCAGCTACCAGGGCGTGGTGCAGTTTGCCGTGTCCCTGGTGGACGCCCTGCTCTTTGTGCACTATCTGGCCGTGGTCCTGCTCGAGCTGCGCCAGCTCCAGCCGCAGTTCACGCTCAAGGTCGTGCGCTCCACGGACGGGGCCAGCCGCTTCTACAACGTGGGCCACCTCAGGTACAGGCGCCTGGGGACAGGCGGCGGGCCTGGGGCGGGGCGGAGGGGACTGTAGGGCATGGGGCGGCGTGGTGTGATGGTGGGGCCGGAGGTGACGCGCTCGGAAGGCTGGGTGGGAAGTTGTGTGCTCCGCACATTCTAGGTTTTCAACAGTGTTTGCTGCTTGATGGTGGGATCATGTTGAGGGTCCTGGAGCAGATAGGGTGGGAGTTAGGAGTTGGGAGTGAACAGATGAACAGGGATCAGGGATCGGGGATCTTACTTAGGCATGGACCAAAGAAGAGAAAGGTGTGTGTGATTCTTTGGAATCACCACGTTTCTAGCTCCTGGAGACACAGCCTCTTGAGGGCACTCAGTGAGCGGTCACTGAGATGAGCTGGCCAGAGGAAGGGCCCCCCCAGGGAAAAGATAACGAGGGAGGTTCTTCGGCTCCCTAAACGTGGGAGCAGGATGCCCCCCCTCCCCCCACCCAGCGACCCAGATTGTCCTTAGTCCTGCAGGGAATCTTGAGGGGAATGCTGGAGGGGAGGAGGTGACCCCTGGCTGGGGATCCTGGCCCACTGCCCTTTCGCCCCGGGCTTCAGCGCGGCAGGGAAGGAGTAGCAGGCCCAGCCCTGGGGAAGGCTTAGGAGCCTGGTGAGTAGACCGCAGGCCCCGAGCCAGGCTTCTTGGAAGCAGCTTGTCCCTGCCCTCTGTCCTCTCCGACCCCGCCGACCTGCCCTGATGTGTACCCCCCCCCCACGCCCCTTGTCTATCCTCTCCGCCCCCCCTCCTGCCGTCTCCCCCACAGCATCCAGCGTGTGGCAGTGTGGATCCTGGAGAAGTATTACCATGACTTCCCTGTCTACAACCCTGCCCTCCTCAACCTGCCCAAGTCCGTCCTGGCCAAGAAAGTGTCTGGCTTCAAGGTGTATTCCCTCGGAGAGGGTGAGCGGCCCTGCTCCCTGGCCTCCTGGTCTCCTCCCAAGCAGGACCCCCGAGTTCCTGCCTCCCGTGTCCCCTTCACCCTTCCTCCCGTGCTTTCTCCTTCCGCAGACTGCATCCCAGCCCGTCCTGTTCGGTCACCTCCTCCACGCCGGGTGGCTGGTTTTAGCTGCTGATTCTCTTCTCTTTCCCTCTCTGCTGCGGTGTGTCCCCTTCCCCTGGCCCCGCTGTGTCTGCGCCTCCGCCCTGGCTCGGGGAGCTCGGGAGGGACCCGCGCGGGACTCCTGCTCTCTGGTGCCCCCTTGCGGCCTTGCTGTGGGCCTCTCCCAGACGTCGTGGCCAGGAGGGATGGGGACGGGAGGTGTTCCTGGGGGGTGGTCCAGCTTCCTCCGAACGTGTCGGGGGGCTGGCCCCAGACTTCCTGGAGTGGGCATCAAGGCGGCGCTCTGAAGGGACCAACCTCTCTCTCTCCTGTTTCTGCACAGAAAACAGTACCAACAACTCCACGGGTCAGTCCCGAGCTGTGATCGCAGCGGCGGCCCGCAGGCGGGACAACAGCCACAACGAGTACTACTACGAGGAGGCCGAGCACGAGCGGAGGGTGCGCAAGCGGAGGGCCAGGTGGGTCTCGGGCAGGGGCGGGGCCGCTGGGGAGGGGAAGACCCCCTGGCTTCTGTAGCCGATGATGATGTGGTTGGCATGTGTGTCCGTTTTCTGTTGCTGCCTTAATAAGTCACCATGAACTGGGTGCTGTGAAACAACTCACATTTATTGTCGTGCAGTCCTGAGAGTCAGGAGCGGGTGAGCTGAACCCTCCACTCAGGGCTCACAGGCTGAAATCAAGAACAAATCTAGTTTTAGCCCGAGTCCCCTTCCAAGCTCACTGGTTGCTGGCAGAATCAATTCCTGGTCACCTGGACCCATAGGCAGTTTTCCTTGAGGCCAGCAAGACCAGGTAGGTCTCTGGCCAGCAGCCGGAGAAAACTCCACTTCAAAGGGCTTGTGATGAAATTAGGTCTGCAGGGTAACCTCCTTATTTTAAAGTCAGCCGACTTGGCACTTTCATTACCTCTGCAAAACATACCAAGATTATTGGCTAACCAGGGGATGGGGGTCTGGTGGAGGTGGATGGGGCCTTTGAGTTCTGCCTGCACAGTGGGGCAGGGGCCGTTAAGCCCGTGAGCCTCCCCGGCAATGGCAGGGACGGAGGCTAGACCAGCCCTCCTTCCAGTAAATCTTGGAGGCTTGCTCAGCAGATGGTACATTTTTACCTGCAAAAAATGAGGTTCTAGTGCCCATATCTTGGTAAATTCTTAAACACTGTCCTCATGCTTCCTTTTTTCGTGTTCACATTGTCATGTGAATGCTGTTCATGCCTGAAGATTCTTTCTTGGTGTTGACTGCTTGCCAGGGCCCGCCTTCACCTGTTGGTATTTCTACAGGGGAGGAACAGAGGGTCTTGGGACTCTGCCCTTCCTCACACATGACCACCAGGCTTCGAAGGAGGAAGGGAGCCCTGACTCTGTTCCTTTTTTTTTTTTTAGTTTTTAGAAAGGTTTATTTTAATTGGAGGAAAATGGCTTCATAAGTTGTGTTGGTGTCTGCTGTACAACAGTGCAAATCAGCGATCAGTTCAGTTCAGTCACTTAGTCGTGTCCGACTCTTTGCAACTCCATGAACCATAGCATGCCAGGCTTCCCTGTCCACCACCAACTCCCGGAGCTTGCTCAAACTCATGTCCATCGAGCCGGTGATGCCATCCGACCATCTCATCCTCTGTCGTCCCCTTCTCCTCCTGCCTTCAATCCTTCCCAGCATCAGGGTCTTTTCCAATGAGTCAGGTGGCCAAAGTATTGGAGTTTCAGGTATACTGGAGTTTCAGCTTCAGCATCAGTCCTTCCAGTGAATATTCAGGACTGATTTCCTTTACGATTGACTGGTGTGATCTCCTTAAGGGACTTTCAAGAGTCTTCTCTGACACCACAGTTCAGAAGCATCAATTCTTCAGTGCTCAGCTTTATAGTCCAACTCTCACATCCATACATGACTACTGGAAAAACCATAGCTTTGACTTTGTAGGCAAAGGTAATGTCTCTGCTTTTTAATATGCTGTCTAGGTTGGTCATAGGGACATGGGTTTGGGTGGACCCCGGGAGTTGGTGATGGACAGGGAGGCCTGGTGTGCTGCAGTTCATGGGGTCGCAAAGGGTCAGACATGACTGAGTGACTGAACTGAGGTTGGTCATAGCTTTTCTTTCAAGGAGCAAGTGTCCTTTAATTTCATGGCTGCAGTTACCATCTGCAATGATTTTGGAGCCCAAGAAAATAAAATCTGTCACTGTTTTCATTGTTTTCCCATCTATTTGCCATGAAGTGATGGGACCAGATGCCATGATCTTAGTTTTTTGAATGTTGAGTTTTAAGCCAGCTTTTTTATTCTTCTCTTTCACTTTCATTGAGGCTCTTTAGTTCCTCTTCACTTTCTGCCATAAAGTGATTTCTGATTTCTGTCAGAAAATGCACAAAGTGGCAGAGATCAGCCATAATTATACATATATCACTTCCCTCCTCTCCCCCTAGCCTACCCCTCTAAGTCATCAGGGAGCACCAGCCTGGATTTGCTGTGTTATGCAGCAGCTTCTCACCAGCTATCTGTTTTACGCATGGTGGTATGTGTATGTCAGTGCTGCTTTTGCTGTTCATCCCACTCTTCCCTTTCTCCAGTGTGTCTATAAGTTCATTCTCTGTATCTGCGTCTTCATTCCTTCCCTGCAAATAGATTCATCAATACCATTTTCTAGATTCCATATATATACATTAATATACTTTATTTGTTTTTCTCTTTCTGACTTACTTCATTCTGTATAACAGGCTCTAGGTTATACAGAGTTATAACTCACTAGAACTGACTCAAATTCATTCTGTTTTATGGCTGAGTAATTTTCCATTATATACACACACACACACACACACACACACACGCACGCACACATACCACATCTTCTTTATCCATTCATCTTTTGATGGGCAAATAGATGACTTCCATGTCCTAGTTATTGTATGTACTAGTATGTACTATGAACATTGGGGTGCATGTGTCTTTTTGAATTATGGTTTTCTTAGGTTATTCACCCAGTAGTGGGATTGCTGGATCATATGGTAGTTTTATTCCTAATTTTTAAAGGCATCTCCATACAGTTCTCCGTAGTGGCTGTATTACTTTACATTCCCACCAATAGGGCAAGAGGGTTCCCTTTCCTCCAGCATCTGATCCTGTTTTTACACGAGGCTGCAGTAGATGGAAGATTAGCAGCCCCATTGCTGTGACATTGCAGCAAGTCTCCAATTGCCATGGGAAGGAAGCTGGAAAAGTTCCCTGCCTCCTCTGCCTTCTGCCTTGACCATGATCTCTGGATCTCCTGGGCTGCTGCTACCATAGCGGACCCTCTCCTTCCCCATTACCTTGGTTGTAACCAAGAGAAAACTTTTTCCCTTGGTTCACCTAAGACAAAGGGATCTTTTCTAAAGGAACTTTACTGAGACACTCAGGGAGGCAAAAGAATAAACAGAGATACAGCAGAATTACACAGATCCACATGTGTACTTGGCCCAGAATCCTGTCCTAAGCTACTTGAAGTCCCCCGGTTCCTGGGTTTCCCCGATACTGGTTTTTGCACGTCTCTGTACTTTTAATGTAAATGGGCTGCTTTTTCCTGCTTCCCTCCTACTAACATATTTTTGAGATTCACCCTGTCTGTATATCTGGTTTGTTGGATCTTATTGCTGCCTAGCACTCAGAGAATACTTTCAACATCTTGACCAGTCATTTGCCTAAATTTTTTTCCATTTTGATGAATAAGTAGTATCCTTTTAACATTTAATCTTCTTACTACTATCTAGTAACAACTTCATCTTTTTTCAGCCTTTCAGGTCTCTTATGAATTATTTTTTCACTTCTTTGCCCATTTTCTATTCTGTTCTTACCTTTTCCTTCTTGATTTGTGACACATTTTTTTGCCTTACCTTTGCCCACCCCAGGTGTTAGTTAATGTTGCTCAGGCTATCACGGTTGAATAGACATGCGTGATTTTGATGTAGTTATATCTAATAATGTTTCACGCACTGAAGTGCAATTCAGGGGGGCTCTTAATTAAAAAGGCTTTTTCTAGGGTTCTGTCCATAGTTGTCTCTCTCTTTGACACTTGATTGTCCTCTGTGGGTCCCCGGCTGGGCTCACTGAGCTCTAAAGCTGTTTCCTATTTCTAGAGGGGTGAAGACCCTCTGCCTCCCACCCATATGCATGCATTCTCATATGCACACACACAGTCTCCAAAGCCTGGTTCTTGAGTCCAGATGAGAGCCTATAGCTTCAGGCAGAGCACAAAGGCCTGACCTCTCTCAGGCTGCTGGAGGGCTGAAGCTGGGGGGAAGATGAGTGGTGGGAGTCTGGTCCACACCCCTTGTCTCCCCCAGGCTTGTGGTGGCAGTGGAGGAGGCCTTCACTCACATTAAGCGGCTGCAGGAAGAGGAGCAGAAGAATCCCAGGGAGGTGATGGACCCCCGGGAGGCAGCCCAGGCCATCTTCGCATCCATGGCCCGTGCCATGCAGAAGTACCTTCGCACCACCAAGCAGCAGCCTTACCACACCATGGAGAGCATCCTACAGCACCTTGAGTTCTGCATCACGCACGACATGACGCCCAAGGTAGGCCAACCTGCCCCAACATCCTTTCTCTCTCCCTGACTCCGGCCTCTTCCCTTCTGCTTCCTCTCCCTTATTCTTTCACTTCCTTCCCTGACCTCCATCCCTCTCCTGTCCCTGCCTCCTTACAGTCTCTCATCCCTACTCCATCTGCTCCATCTCTGAATGGGGTAGCTTTCTTAGGTGCTGAGAAGAGGGAGTTTGGGGACCATTTGGGGAATAACTGAGACCTATTTCTCATCTTTGTAGAGGTTCCAGAATTTTCAGATCCAAACTCCCACCAGGCGTGGTTTGCTCTATGCTCTTTTTGAGCCAGTTCCACCGTCCAGTTCTATGGCCAGCTTCCTAGAATTGCCTCCCCTGAGCCATCTCTGGGGAACAGGTCACTATAGATGTTGCATTTCAACTGTGATGCCTCTAGCTTTCTGCTGGTGCAGCCCTGCTGAGTGCTACCCACTCGAGCAGAAGGGAGAGGAAAGAGTATAAGGGAGGGCTTTCCCAGGTCATAGCAGGTACCTGGGAAGAGCAGGGGGTGTGGGGGTCAGGAGAGCCAATCCCGGACCTGACCCTGCTGAACCACACCACCTCTGTGGGCTCCCGCTCCGGCATTGGTAAACCAGGGTCCCAGGCAGATGATCTCAGGCCGTTTTCTGCTCTAGCATTCTGAGATTGTTTGCATAGAGTGAGCTTGGGACATCTTGGTGGTCTTTGGAAGCTCTACCCCCAGAGGGGTAAAGGGGACGTGGGTAGGTGGGAGGGAAGACTTCCTGCGACTTCCCCTCTCGCCTCCGCAGGCCTTCCTGGAGCGGTACCTGGCAGCTGGACCCACCATCCAGTATCACAAGGAGCGCTGGCTGGCCAAGCAGTGGACACTTGTGAGCGAGGAGCCGGTGACCAACGGGCTCAAGGATGGCATTGTTTTCCTCTTGAAGCGCCAGGACTTCAGCCTGGTGGTCAGCACCAAGAAGGTCCCATTCTTCAAACTCTCCGAGGAATTTGTGGACCCCAAGTCGCACAAGTTTGTCATGAGGCTGCAGTCTGAGACCTCAGTGTGACTGCACAACAGCAGGGGGACTGGGAGACGCGGGGGGCTCCTGAGGGCGGCAGTGGGGGCTTGGTTCTCAGGCCCTGCCACGTTCCTGCCGCCCTTCTTCCTCTTGCTCTAGCCGTTTTTTTTACTTGAATTACCCCCCTCCCCCACCTGGCTCCTCCCCATTCCTTGTTTACCCCGTGTGAACCTGGAGAGACATCCTGCTGTCAACAGTACCTGGGAAGTTCCCCCTCCCTTCTCCCACCCCCTGGTTTCGTATCACTCCGGGCCCTGCAGGAATCAGTGCCTCTCTCCCTCTCCTTTCCCCGCCAACAGCCTCTTCTGGAAGGGCCTGGCAGAGCCCCATTCGAACCCAGGTTCTTATAGCAGTTCTCTCCAGTGGTTTCCCCAAAGGATTTCTCTGGGTGTTGGGGGGTGCAGATCTGACTCCAGAGAGCCACAGTGCCAAACCCCCCGGGCAGCGCTGCCCGCAGCCTCCTGGTGGCAGATGGACCTGCTCCCCGTTCGCTCACCCCACCTGAGCAAACCCGGAATTCTTAAGCAGGGATCCCCCCGTGTTCTCCCACACAACCCGAGTTGGAGCCTCCCCACCCAGGGTTGTTTGCTTCCAGCTCTTCAAACCTCTTCCCCATCCACATATTCAGAGCAGGGGAAGTTCATGGGCCCTGGGGGGCAAGTACCTTTCTTCCACGGGGTCTTTCCTAGGCAGCCCCTTGGGGAAGGTCGGGAGAGAGCCCCGTGAACATCGCTGACCACTACCCTCTGAACTGCCCACACCTTTGCTCCCACCATGCTGGGGTGGGTCTCCCCCTTCCTGGTGAAGGATGCCACATAGACTTCTGTAGAGAATTAGTGGCTTGGCTGGACCCTGACCCACCCCAGTGGTCTCAGACAAATGTTTTTCTTTTCTTCACCAGCCACCCCCCATTTTGCTGTCTCTTCTCTCGGCTCCAGAGACCTGTTGCCTCATCTCTTTTTGGGGGGGTAGCCAGCAGCTCCTCCTCATCCCCTGCCTTAAGTCCACTTCTTTGCCTCAGGGGTCTCTTCTCCTTGGCTGGCCAGGGTCCCCCCAGTTCCCTCTCTGCCTGGTTTTCTGGGCTCTGGTCTCCCTCTGTAATGGGATGAGGGACCAAGATTGCTGCCTTTGTTGGGTACTTAGCCCCTCACCCCATTTAGCTTCCGTAGTCTTTGCACCCAATCTGAATTCTTGAGAATTTCACTCTCATTTTGAGCAAAAGTTGCTGGCCTTCTAATACTTAATTTCCCTGTAAATCTGAGCCTTGAAATCAGACATCCCTAAATTATGTAGTTTTAGCCAAGGGGAATAGAACTAAGGAGTACTCACATACCTCCAGCCAGCACCCAGGTTGGGGAGTGTCCTCGTGGCCCGGCCGGAGCAGTCCCCTGGGCCAGTCCTCAGAATAACTCACAATGCCCCTTTGTAGGCCCATCTCTCCCCTGGAAAACTCATTGGTTCTTGCCTTGCAGGGGGCACCCTGGGGTAAGATCCCCATTGATCTCTTACCAGGGAGGCTTCCTCTCTGTATTGGCGACTCTGGGCATGATGGAGCCTGGGGATTGTTTGTCCTGCCGTCCTTTCTGAAAAAGCACATCTGTCCACACACCGCTTCCTCGAGAAGCACTTCAGCCAGTGCTTACCTTGTCTGCACATGGGTGGGTTACACGGCTGACTTAAGCAGGGCCTGGAGGGCAGCCTTGGGCTGGGGCTGTGGGTTTGAAGATAAGCCCGAGTGATACACATCCTGTCCTGGGGGTCTTGGGAAGGTTTTTTTTTTTTTCTTTTCTTCAAAGACCTGGTTTCAGAGGAATCCCTTCTGGATCACATTTCTAAATACCTCACTATCCTGGAAAATGGGGCCTGGATGGTGACTGGGGTCACTGCCGTTGTGGGCAGGAGTGGGATGTGGTGTGGTTTGGGGAAGAGTTGGGTGGGGAGAAGGGAAAGTATCTGTGATCATAGTTGCTGCCCTAGATGAGGGGTGGGGGAGTGTTTATTTTAAGAACCTGCCATGTTTTTTAATCACTGTGATTTTTTCATTCCTTTTAACTAAAACAAAAAGACATTTCCCCCCACCCCGACTCTCTCTCTAAGCACTAAGGGCTGTAACTGAGACTGGTCGTGTTTTGGTCCTTTGCGTCAGAACTGTGGTATCTTCGTCTTCTTTGATTACTGTTACTGTTATTTTTTAAAATGTCAGGATGAACTGTCACGTGTGTGGCTGTGTTTGTCTTTTGCTTCTCCTGTGTGGGAAGTTGTCTGCATACTGTGAACTGAGGTGGGGTCTGTAGCTGCCTCGGTCCCTCTGACCAGCGTCCCCCACTCTGTCCCATCACAGGCTGGACTTTCTCACCCTTCCCTCGTGGGGGCGTGCCCACCCATCACCACCTCACACCGTCATCAAGGATGCTATGGCTGAGTCTCTCCAGTGCTTCTTTGTGACCCCATGGCATCCTAGCTCATGCCCGCCGCACCTCCCAGGCCTTCGTTTTTACCACCGGGGAAGGCCGGTCCTCCTTCCCTCCACACCAGGATACTGTGCCTCGGTCCTTCACCTACCTCGCCACTCTGCCGCTGTCCCCATCGGCCCCGGTCTCTTACACTACTCTGCGTGCTCTCTATTTCTGATCTTGTTCATTTCCCTTTTGCCTCTCCTTCCCCCCCCCCACCCCCATTTCAGCCCTCTCCTTTTCACTTCCCCCTCCCCACCTCGGTCCTGTTGCCAACCCTGTTGCAATACCTGTGATGAGACATTGGGATCCCTTCTCGTCTGAAACAGCTGTTTACCAGAGTTGAAGCTTCCCTCCTTCTCTTCTGGGCCTGGATGAGCTCCCTTTGGCCCTCTGTGGTGTCTGTCAGTCTGTCTTCTCTTTCCTCTGCCTTCCCCACGGGGCAGCATCTGCTGATGGAGTTGGTCCCGGTGTGTGAGTGTTGTGATTTGTTCTTTTGTGTGTGCAAGGAAGGGGGCTTTTTGAGTTCCTTCCAAGTGAGATTGTAAATGTAGAATTTCCCACTGTTGGATCTAGATTTTTTTCCCCCCTTTTTTTGGGTTACAGAGCTGAGACCTTGTGCATGCATGTAGAAAGTTGTAAAATGTAAATTTTTTTTTTTTAATATATGAAAAGCTTGTTTTTACAGTTTGCAGTGGATCTAAACATTATGGCAATTTTAGGTTTTTTTTTTTCTTAAACATAGGAATTAAAACTGTACAAAATTTTTTTTTATATATATATAATAAAGACACTTGACTTTTGTGGGGGCATTCTGTTGTTTTTTTTTTTTTTCTCTTTTCTTTTTTTTTTAACAGGAGTGAAAAGAGCCTGAGAGGGTCAGGAAGCAGTGAATGTATGTTCCTTGTTAGGGAGTGGGTGGACCAGAAGGGGGCAATGTGAGCTCGTTGTTGCTCCACCCTTCTCAGGATGAATGAAAAAGGAAGCTGCTTATTCTGAACTCTGATTCTGAGAAGAGAAACACTTGGGAACGTGAAGACTTAGCTGTTCTCTGGGGTGGTTGTCAAGATAAGGAGGAGAGAAAGATTCCTTTCTGGGTAGATTCATAGGAATTTCAGAGAACAGTTGATGATTTCATTCAATAGTGACAGCTCCTCACATGTTATTAAGAAACATTCCTGAAGTGTATCTCATGTTTCATTACCTTATTTCTACCAGTATCTCTAATCTTTCAGATACTGTACAAAAGAATATCCTAGCAGGAGTCATTTATTTAAAATGGGAATGTTCAGATGACACTGTGCTTGTAATCAAGCCCTGGAACTATTGTTGAGAGATGAGGGGCTTTCTCTCAGCTCTACCCAGACCCAAGCTTCTCTGTGACTTTGGGCAAAATGCTTAGCACAGAAAATTCTTTCTAAGGTTACAAATAAACAAACCAACAAATGTAAACATCCCTGTGTGACGTTAACCCATTTACTACTAGATTTTGTCTTCTTCTCCCCTGCCCCATCCATTGCCATGGCCTGAGGATGCAAGGACCAGAGTCTTGTCCTTGTCCTGGAGGAAGATCCAAGCTACAGGGAGGTGACAAGCCAGATAACCTAACGCAAGGCTGTGCGGCCTGTTCACATGCAGAGCACAGGTTACCCTAGCAGGTTTCCAAGGAGCTCAGAGAGCCTGCCCTTAAGAAATTTAAGTAGTTTGTTTAAGAACCAACACCAGTAAGGGAGGGATTTCTTTACTTTGTTCGTATTCCTAGCATCTATGCCAGCTCTTCCCGTACAGTCAGTGTTCAGTTAAAAAGTGTACTGAATGAATGAGGAATTATAAAGAACTAGTGATGCAGTGTGTGTGCTGTGTGCTCACTCACTGTGTCTGACTCTTGTGCCACCCCATGGATTCTTGGGACTCAGGTAGCTCGCCTGGCTCTTGTGTCCATGGAATTTTCCAGGCGAGAATACTGGAGTGGGTTGCCATTTCCTCCTCCAGGGTATCTTCCTGACCCAGGGATTGAACCCCCACCTCCTGCAGCTCCCACATTGCAGGCAGATTCTTTACTGCTGAACCACCAGGGAATAGGGACATATAAAAAGGATCATATATTTACTTCTCTCTTTAAAATTGCAGTCAGGTCTCATGTGAGAATGAGTTAAAAAAATTTCTGGACTTCCCTGGCAGTTCAGTGGTCAAGAATCCTGCCAATGCAGGGGACATGATTCAGTCCCTGGTCTGGAAAGATTCCACATGCAACTAAGCCTGTGTGCCACACCTACTGAAACTCATGTACTCTAGAGCCTGTGTGCAGCATCAAAGACCCAACACAGCCAAAACCGCAAAAATAAATGTAAAAAAAAAATTTTAAAAACTTCCCTTGAAACTGTAACACCCCATTCTCATAGCTCTGTCCTTCTGTAACTAGGGTTTTAATTTCACATACTGTTTTCATCTCAAAGCCAGCTTTTGACTTACTGTGACCAAATTTCTACCTTACCATGGCTTTGAAATTATTCTTGTTTTTAAATTCTTTTTAGTAAATGTCTGTTCAATGACTATGACATTCCCAGCCTGGGACTAAAGTTTGGTAAGAGTGGATATGTTCCTGGCTTCGCTGAATCCATCTTTGTGGATCCTGGAAGAGTCTACTTAACCTCATGAACCTCTTTCTCTAATGCCAGCTCTAGGAATTAACAAATTTAAGGCCAGATTGCAATATTTAATCTAGGGAGTTGTATTTTCTCTTGGGGTTTTCTGAGAGCAAAGGTGTTTTCAGATAATCCCACTTATTGGTTATGTAACAAAGAGTATTTGTAACTTAACTGAAAAGACACATTCTTTTTTCTTAATGGAAGTACTGCATCTATCACTGAAGTTAGGAACTCACCTTGGTGGATAGTCAGGATCTTGCCTGGGACTTCTTTCCATAGTTGCTCAGAGGTGGTTTTCCATATGAATCATTAGACCCATTTCTTAACAATTCTGTATTAATTTCTTTGGTTTAGATCAGTTTAATGGCTTCTACAGAACTGAAAACCAGTTGCTTAAAATAGCCCCTGGCTTTTTATTTGTTAGTTTAAGCCAGTGATGGAAATACTATTCCAACTGCTGAGAAGGCTATGAGGAGAGGGAGTCTGCCTTTGGAAAACCATTATGCTAGCAGTGGACAAATGGTCATGGGAGATGCGAGAGAGATAGTATAGGACCATCCACGTAGTGGAAAGATCTTGGGAAACAGTCATCCGTGTACAGGTCTCCGGTTTCTCTGTAGGCTGAAAATGGGGTCCATTTCCCTTGTTAAAAAGGACATAGCATACATGTCATCCCAGGAGCGCACAACAAATGCCAAATTCAAGTATGTATGGAAAATTGGGAGAGGACATTGATTTATATTTGAGAAAGTTGGGCAAGGCACTGACCTCTCATTTCATCCTAGTGTTTTTAGGAGGATACAAGGATACTTGTGAGCTGTGTAGTCAGATACACAGATGAAACATTGTCCACATCTTCTAGGAGTTCATGGAACTTGGGTTAGTAAAATTGGGAAATTTTATTATTTTGTTGCTTACTGTTGGCACCCAAGAAAGTAAACTATTCCCTAGAGGTGGTCAGTATCATTAGCAAGAGAAAGATTAAAGTCAATACTGGGGGAATCTATTGACCTTGATAGGCAAACAATTTGATGTCACCACTCAAAAAAGAGACATCGAGATGCTCTGATATCCTGAAAGAAGATCGCTTTGGTGGAAAAAAGGAGTATGAGGTTTTCAGTTGTGTCCTGTCCCTTCTGCTTTCTTCTGGGCACAGTTTGCCAGTGCAGCTGCTTCACCAGGGATAAATGTGTGGTTAAAAATGTGGATTTTGGGGGCAGTGAAAATAACTTGTATGATACTGTAATGGTGGATATATGTCATTATAAATTTGTCCAGACTCATTGAATGTACACCACCAAGAGTAAAGTTTAGTGTAACTGGACTTCTCTGGTGTTCCAGTGGTAAAGCATCTGCCTACCAATGCAGGGGACCTGACTTTGATCTCTGATCTGGGAAGATTCCACATGCCGAGGGGCAGCTGAGCCAGCGGGCCACAACTGCTGAGTCTAGGACCTGCGAGTGGCAACTACTGAAGCCCGAGTGCCCTCGAGCCCATGCTCTGCAACAAGGGAAGTCACCGCGGTTAGAAGGCCTTGCACTGCAGCTGGAGAGTAGCCCCCAGTCGCTGCAACTAGACAAACCCTGCATGCAGCAACGAAGACCCAGAACAGTCAAATAAATAAAAAATAAAGCTAT